TTTCTGAATCACAGTCTAGACTCTTGGTCCAGGGTTGATTCATCATACTTTGGCAAAGTCTGTTCTCTTCAAGTACTTTCAATACAATTAAGTGCTTTTCCAAAAGCTATTTCTATATCGAGACTAATATCTTTCCAGTGTGTCTAACTATTACTAGAAGAACCTAAACTAAAATTCTTATTCATAGGACAATGGTCTTATAACTTTGATACTACCACTGCACTGATGCAGTCATGTGTTTTTAATAGGCGAAAATATTGTTGTATTGTTTATTATTGTCCAATCAAAAGGTTAAATCAAAACAGCCACAAGCCTAGGTCGAATGTTGTGTTCTAACTCAATCAGCAGACCAGAGCCTGTAATGTGTACAAGATGGCAGCCCATTTTTCTTTAGGCTGGAGAAAACATTGCGAGAGCTCTGGGTGTGTAAAAATCATGAGCATGAAGGGCTCCGGCACAAGTCAATTTTCACACAACAACACCCAAAGGTGCAAAGCTTCCATTTCTAATACTGTGCGCTTTTTCGCTGTATTGTTGATTGCTGCTGGGTTTCAGACAAGATCACATTATATGGACCTGTGATTCAATGTTTATACAACAACTACCACCAGGATTAGAGCAAAATTAATTTCAGACTAAACCAAGTATGCACAAAACAACAAAGCACCCTGAGTATCACCAGACTCTAGATTACAAGAATTTGTGGGTTTCAAGTGTCATCACCATGTTAGACCATTAACTGTAATAGAGATTAGGGGCATACATTACTGTTGAAATGCCCTGTTAATATAGTTAACATTTTCAAGAGGGACATAATATGAGGGCCTACTCACTCCCTTTCCCCCCACCTGAAAGCATGATATAATCCTGCATAATTAAATTTCTAAAATAGTATATATATATATATTTTGTTCTTTTTGTCTTGTTCACGAGTGAAGGGAGGACGGAACATGAGATTGACAGGCGGATCGGTGCAGCGTCTGCAGTGATGCGGTCGCTGTATCGGACCGTTGTGGTGAAGAGGGAGCTGAGTCGAAAGGCGAAGCTCTCGATTTACCGGTCAGTCTTCATTCCTATTCTCACTTATGGTCATGAGCTCTGGGTAGTGACCGAAAGGACGAGATCGCGAATACAAGCGCTCGAAATGAGTTTCCTCCGCAGGGTGGCTGGGCGCTCCCTTAGAGATAGGGTGAGGAGCTCAGTCACACGGGAGGAGCTTGGAGTAGAGCCGCTGCTTCTCCACGTCGAGAGGAGCCAGCTGAGGCTTGGGCATCTGTTCCGGATGCCTCCTGGGCGCCTCCCTCAGGAGGTGTTCCAGGCATGTCCCACCGGGAGGAGGCCCCGGGGAAGACCCAGGACACGCTGGAGGGACTATGTCTCTCGGCTGGCCTGGGAACGCCTCGGGGTCCCCCCGGACGAGCTGGAGGAAGTGTCTAGGGTGAAGGAAGTCTGAGAGTCCCTGCTTAGGCTGCTACCTCGCGACCCGGCCCCGGATAAGCGGAAGAAAATGTATGGATGGATGGATGGATATATATATATGTATATATATTATTTTTTACCAGTACTTACCGGTTTCTTGCCCACAATGAGCTTCTCTACTTTCTGCACCTGGGACACGTGATCCTCATTGGTTTTGAGTTCTCTCTTTCGGATCCTTTCATAAATGCCCACAAGTGTCTCTCTGGGGATGTCCTCTCCATCATCCACACCTAAATCACAATGATGTAATTGTAATGCTATTGTTTATGCTTCTTATCTGTATACTTCAGATCTATGTAACTCATTTTGAGCATCAAATCACCAAGGCAAATTGCTGACAAAATTATACCTTTTTATTTGCACCATAATCAGATTTTTCTGATTAGGAGACTGTTAAAATTAATTTACAGGAAATTCAATATTATTTAACAACCTGTAGAAAATGTGATACTCTTATCTATAAGTAACAGTTTTAATTTTAATTTGAGATGGCAGATCACCTACTTACCCACTGAATTTATAAGAGCTTTACTGCAGCTCTGTCTTCTTGATACTAATACTACCTTTATAGGTATTTAAACTTGCTATGTTTGGCCCAGTGTAATTAACTTTATTTGTCAGTGATCAATTTTAAGCCTGACAAGTTACCTCTCAAATTCTTGATGAAATCCTCGAGCTTCATCTTCCTCTCTGGTTTGACGTTGGGGCTGTACATGTCTGTGTTGAGGAGGATGATGGCGAAGGCCAGAATGAAGATGGTGTCAGGGTTTCTGAACTGTCGCACCACAGTGGGGTTACAGATGCAGTACCGCTGACTGGACACAAAACAGAGGGAATTGGCGATGGTTCCAATATACAAAAGGTACATCCTGTATATATTTGAGAGATGGAAAGCAGAAGAATGGCAACTTCTTTCACTGAGCTAATAATGAAGTAATGACAATATTGTGAAGTAACCAAGTTCTGCAACAAGACTGACATAACTTAACAGACATATATTATGTAATTCAAATAGTTAAAAACACAATACAGATTCAGCATTTTATAGCATGTCATACATATTCTAGTATAAAGCTAAGAATTTTGATTTATAAAAGCAAGTTCCTAAACCTATAAAACAATTTTTCAATTAATTGTAGATTAGATTTGAACTGAATTAGTTAAGTCACATTGACAGATCTATCTTAATTCTCAATATTACAATAAATATTAGTATGGCAAAAGGCCTATCACAATTACTATATAGACATGTCATTCAGTATAGAACAGATTAACAATATTTTTGTTTCTTTATATAGCTGTGACATGTTCTTATTTTTATATAGTACTTGGCCTGAGTTCTAGATGTTCAATAATTAACATCTATGACACATTACAGTTACAAGAATTAACTACTAAAGTATTTCATTTACAATAAGGTTAACTTGGAAATATTATTTTTATTATCCTGCAGTAAGGTTATTGTGCCAGTCAGATAAGGTAGTTTGAATGCTATAATTTTGTGATTGTTTTTCTGATAGGACTATATATTTCAACTTTATTTAAATGAATCCATTTCTCTTCTGACCTGAAGGCTTCGATGAGGCGCTCCACCTTCTGGGCCTCTCCTTGGACTCTGATGTGGTTCTGGAACTTTCTGAGGGCCTCATCCAGCTCCATGCCCTGGAAGTCCATCTCATCCACCACACAGCTGCAACACACACACACACACCACCAGTTAGAACAGTAATGTGGACTTTGTTGGCATGTGCCAAATATAACAATATAAGAGAATAAACACAGCGTGTTAAGGGTTCAACATCAATCAATCACGTGCTTTCCAATAAAACCAGCACAAACATATTCACTCAACTTTGACTTAGTTATTAGTCGCAGTAGTTTGAAATAAAACGATTAATATAGCTTTTGTTAGTTAAGATGAATAAGATTATATTTACTCATACCAGCCCTTATAGTAGTGGAAACACTAGTAACTCACTCTAGGACATCTCTGTTGAACTGTTTCTGACGGTTGCCGAGGAACTCTCCGATCATCTGTCGACTCAGGCCTTTCCTCTGCAGCAGGAAGTGAGCCACACCCACAGGTGTGTCTGGGATGAAGCCCCTCTCCGTCAGGTACTGGATGCCCTTCTCTGGCTTCCTGAAACACCACAGGTCCACATACAATATATGTTTGGTTCAAGAAAATACATATAATACAAATAATGGGTATTATAATTAGGCTATAGATCTTAGGAGTCTGTTGTTACATCTCAGACAAATTTCACTTAGCATAATGTTAAACCAACCAAGATTTTAATATGCTAATATATGATAATGTACATCATTTACATTTTCATCAGTGACCCAACATCTTAACAGTTTTATCCAATGCTAATTTTTTTACTTTTACGTTTTGGATAATGCTCAACGTGCTCAATGCTCAAATCTCAACGTAACATCCACTTTCTGATGTTCGTTGCCAAGCTCTATATTATATAGCTGATTCACTTGGTGCTTAATGTAACCCAGTATATTTGAAGACTTTTTATGTGTTAATTATTTTCAACCATGACCAAACGACTAACACCATGGCTCTGTGAAAAACTGAAAAGAAATTAAATACAGCAAACAAACATGTATCAACTGTTTGTCCTTAGCTGTATATTTTTCTATACCATGAAAGGTCTAAGAGCAAGCAATGTCCTGGGATAATCTTTTTGTGTGTTTGTTTGTATGGCTATTCCTGTAAGCCTTTTGAGGTCAGATGTTGTTGTAAAAGGTTACATAAATAAACTGCACAGAAAATAATGAAAAACATTGGTGAGCCACAAATCAAATTATTTCCCCATAGAATTAAATTATCCATACAGTGCAGCATTAGGCATGAAGATTAGGTTAAAGATAGAATTGGCATTAGCTACAATTAAATTTTATTAAAATCTATAGGCTAAGTACATTGCATATCTTCATTATAATAACTTATTGGATGATTGTGTCACTTAAACCAATTACCTTTTTTATTGTCTAATCTAATACATTTCCATAGAACTGTGAGTGATTGCTTGAGTATTTCACAGTTTGTTTTCTGTTGGTCAAGTCAGCTATTTTTATGAAGTCTGTTGAGGCGACTTCTGTTGTGATGTTGGACTACAAAAATTAATGCAACTGAATTACATTCAACTTACACCATAATAGAGCTGCACTACACAGTCAAATCATAACTGCAACAGAAGTTCATGTAATTATCCCCCCCCCAAAAATTCTACAGCCTTAAAGATAATTCAAGATGTCCTTAGCATGTTCACACAAAGTCAAGCCCCAGTGAGTACCCACTTGTTGAAGAGGTTGAGCCCGATTCGATAGTGCCTCTTTCGGATGACGTCGTTGCTGAAGATGGGAGAGTCCCAGCTGTTTCGCGTCTCTTTGTGGTATGTCTGTTTGCTCAGGGTCTGCTCTCTGAGACTGTCCCGTGACGAGGACTCTGAGCTACAGTTAATCGTATCATTTGAATTGGATGTGCTGTTGATACTGTCATTGTCCCCGTCAGAAAAGTCAGACTCTGACTTGCTCTGCCGATTTGCCGACCCGTTGATGGCTAGGTGGCTCTCTAGTTGCCGGTGGCGATGGCGTAGGGGTGCGTCATCGTCCCGTGGCGGAGCTCGAGGAGGGGGTCCGTGGGAAATGTGTTTGGGGCTCGCCTGTGAGGAGGTAACAATATGTCCATGTGGTTCGTACACAGGCGGCCTTTTCACAGACCTTTCAGAGCGGTCGCTCAGTTCTGCAGAGCTATCACTGGGAGGTTCAATTGTCAGGAGGGGCAGGTGGTCCATTCTTAAACGCTGTTCCTGGCACTCCAAAGAGGGAGTGCTCCGGCAGCTTGTGTCCGTGTCTCTCCCCTCATCTTTAGGATCGATCGGCCAGTACTCTTGGGATGAGTTGACCGATCGTAGTCTCAAGTCTGACTCTGTACTGGACTGCTGCTCTCCTGACCTTAATGCTATAGGACGGGACATATCCTCTTCATCAATAAACAGAGTAACGTCACTGTATGCCATTGCTTCGTCATGCATGCGCCCCCCTGTCCTGCGATGGGACTGGTATGGGACTTCACGCTGCACCTCAGGACAGCCCATAGACTCCGGGTCTGGGCCTTCGTCACCTTGGAGACTACGACAGTTCAGTGCATCATCTATAGATTCAGCTAAAGATTTGACCTGTCTGGAAAAGGCATCCTCTAGCTCCGTAATGGCATCTGTAAGATCCGCTTGTTGCACTGGATGAGCTGCCATGTTGGGCTGGTGCTGCCGGCGGTCCATGTCCCCACACTCTTGCATGGTGAGGGGATTGCCGTCTTCAGTCATGGAAACTTGCCGACCCTCAAAGTAGGAACTGTGAACTTTTTCTGGACCCTCGAAAGATAGCTGCATCCTCATGTTGGACAGGACAATGCGGCGTGACATTCGGTTTTCCGACATAGAGCTTCGCAGGCGTTCAAAGTTCTTGTTCATCTGATACTGCCGGAATGCCGTCTGGATGGTGCGGGCGGCATGTCGTGTTATGAAGCGCCCGCCATATTTACGCTCCAGCATCTCCACCTGGGCACAGAAAATATGTACAAGTTTTAGAATTATGCAAATCTTGAATTGAGTGAGAAAGAAAACTATGAATTTTCTGGAAAAGGTTTCTCACTCTTCATCACAGTATGTTTAATACAATTCTAATTTTCAATAGGCAGTATTTTTGCCCTTTACATTTCAAAAAGAAGAAATCTTAAAGTACACACAAATCTAGAACATCATCGACCATTCTAATTAAATTCAAATGTAAGGTCAATTGTAATGCTTATACAGTTACTAATTTAGAGTTTGACTTGCTATAACTTATAAATACCAAATTAACTTTTTTACCAATGTAACTTGAATGTTAAATCCACTTGATGTTTGCCGACATTACTCATACACATTAATGAAACTGAGATTCAAGGTACTCTAAGACCTAAATCAATATGAGCTAATAAGTGACAACTGTACAACTAGACAAAAATGGCTAATCAAATAAGATAAATAGCTAAATGAAATAAATGTAGCCTTTCAAAGTCTTTACAGTTGCCTTTACAGTTCATAATATATTAGAAACCCTGTCTGTTTCTGTTTACCTGTTTATCCTGCAGGTCTGAGGACAGCTCATAGCTCTCGGACAGTGATCGGGACCGTTTGATGGCCTCCTCCTCTGCTTGTTTTCGGAGGATGGACTGTGAGTGTTGGAGCTTGGGTCGGCGAGGTCTTTGTGGGCCCGGCTGCACCCCTCCGTGGCTGTAGAGGGGGCTGTCAAAGCGGTCCGGGCTGATGGCTGAACCGTGTGTCACCGGACCCTGGCTGTACCCCGCGCCACCGTCCAGGGAAGGGCCACTGTCATTGGGCCTCCCATCCCCCTCCACACTGTAAACAAAAAGAAAACAGTTTTTTTTATTAAAACGTTCAGCTATTTAAACTATGGACATTTAACATTGTGTGCTTAAGGGATTATCAACTAAATCATGGTTGTCTGTCTAATCCTTCTCATACAACTACAGTACTTAGGGAGCCACTTCAAAGACAGCAGTGAGTACAAAGCCACCAAAACCACATATTAACTTTAAACTAAGCATCTATAAAAGAGAGTCAGGTTTCACACAAACCAAATGGCTTTCCCAGACTAACTTTTTAGTAAAACATTATGAAATATAATTTTGGTTGTGCCTTTTACAGTTGGTTAGTGCAACTGGTAGAAAATCAGTTTATGATGTTACTATTAATTAACAACAGTATTGGTCAAATTTAATATAATTGTGAAAGATTTGTATTTGACCAGACACTGCTGTATTATTGCAAAACTGGACCAAAGACCAAAAGGAATCAGTATAGGAACGGAGTATTAATTTAATACGGTATATAGAACATTAATAGAAATGTCATTCAAACCTGAAAACAGAGGATTTGTGAGTATTGAATTTGCATAAGACACTATAAACAACAGATTGCATGCTGAGCTCTAATAAACCATGCATTATACTTATTCCACTATGAGTTAAGTTTAAACCAGGGGCGAGGTTTGTAATTTCAATGTAGATGCATCAACCAAGCAATACTTGACGTTATTACTACAGGGCAAAACTGGCACCCTCCCTTGTGCAGCTACACCAGCACAGCACCAGTGCAATATCCACTTCTCTTCAAACACCTCTTACCCAAACAAGCCCAATAAAAGCAATAACTTTACTCACTCACTCTTACATTCAGCTGTGCTACATGAGACAGCCCGCTTACTGCGAACAGAGCGCCGAGTTTCAATAAATTGCCAACTCTTTCTCCAAAGCTTGTCCACCATTCTGTCTTTCTATCAGGTTCAGTCCAGAGTACACAGGGCTCCACCAGGAAACCACTGTTTATACCACTTTTGAGGACCAATCAGGGAGTAGGGAGAGTTGCATCACGGGACCTGCTGCTTACATGCTTTCAATAGCCGTTACAAAGTCCAGTAGAATGACAAGGCAAATACCGCTTGTAAAAAATGTAGGAATTTAGCTGAGACGTTAATACATGTGGGGGCTGAATTTTCAGGGTTTTTTTTTATCATGTGCTCGCTGTCTGAACTGTAGCTGACACACCCAATGCAGTGTACACAATCCACTTCCTTCATTACTCAGGCTCAATATCAACATCATCCAAAGTTTGACAGTGAACAGAGTGGCACTACCAATGGAAATCCGCTGCAAAGGGTGGTCAAAAGTTCACAAAGCAGATGTAATTGTATAAAGTAAAATTGTGTCTATGAGAACAGTGGTGGTATTCACTGAACTCAAACCTTAAAGTGACATAGGGCTAACTTGTCTTAACAGTTCATAAAATATTAACTGAATTTAAAATCAACTCAAACTCAAATCTCACAAAATGATGGGTCAGTAAAGGAATAAACTTACAATTCCATTCATATAGCATTAGTAATTATTCTATCTATATTCCCAGTTAATTTAATCCTGCCAATTTTTAACCCCAAATCCTGAAGTTAACTGCAGACTTTACAGAATGTTGCCCCAAATACTGAACCCACAACCACTTAATGAGAGGCATGTGCACTCAGGCATCATATAACCATGTGTTTTCAAATTTTGGCAGGCCTGGCACCAAATATTCAAATCACCAACTTAAATGCATACACAGTCACACTACCATTAGGGCTTAACTAATAGTGTAATGGTTGACTGGTCCAGTGGTTTCTCAAACACGTATGCAAGCTGTCATTTGTGGTACTTAGGGTCCCTGCAGTCCTGGTTTTTGCTTAACTTATAGTAAACTTTAATCACATATTTGTCATCATTTCTCTTATTTAGACTTACTTTAGAATTGAGTAATTTAGACCTTTTCTAGGCCCAGTATATTTATTGTTGCAGATTTGGTTTAGATCTGGTGGTACCTAGTGAGCCATAATGTTGTCTTAGATGACTCTTGGTGCAAATTTGAGAACATAATATTATTATGCAGTTTTAAGCAGATTAAGATGGAAAACTTAAAAAAACTTAATAGAAAATAGTGACAATAAATCTATGAGTTACTGCAGCCCTAACTACTTGGCCAGATATTACTTTGGGACAGCAATGCTCTTGCCATGTGTCATTGTGCAAACTACTTCCTCAGGAGTCTGACTCATACTTTAATGTTTGTCGGGGCACCAAAATGTGGCTTCTATTAGTTCAAACATGATCATTTCCTTATTAGACAGCTTACAATAGTTCAGTGTTAGAAAAAGGAAGTTTCTAACGTGTTAAAGACACAATTGGCCTAAACTGAGGAACTAACTCACAAGACAGTTCCTATGTGCAAACTACGCCTGCATTTAGCAGCAACACAAGCTGCACTGTACTTTTAATAGTAGCAGCTCTGTCCTCTGGGGTTAACATAGAGCCAAAACTGAAGTGCTTTTAACCGTTTCCCTTGTGTGTTGTTCATTCCCCTCCAAAACATTGAATCTGTTTGTGATTGTGGCTTCATAAGAGAACTGGAAAACAAAGGACTGCAGTGCTTTTAGCTGTGAGGTCATGTGGTGTGCTGTGAGTCAGGAAAAGGGGGATAGAAAGAAAGAAAGAAAGAAAAGAACGGCTGGTGTTTGGACTGTTATGGATTCGAAGGAAAAAGGCGGGAAGCAGCACAGGAAGTAGCATGCCACGCTCCACTGAAAATAACTATTATGTAATGTTTTGTTTACAGATTGTTTCATGATATTGCATTTGGTTGTGTAAAGGAAAGAAAAAATGCAGAAGTGATCTTACTGAGAACTTAAACTTTTAACCTAAAATGCTTGTTTGTTTTAGAATCTCTCAGTTATAGCCTTACAGATACAATAGCAGACTTATGGAGCTGTGGTGTGAGTGAGTGGTTTGTGTTGGTCTAAGAGACCAATGGCACAGATTGACAGACTTCTCTCCCTATCTCAGGGCAGCTGTGGCACCAGAACCATCACAGAGTATGGGGAGTGAATGGACAATGACAAGCTTGTAAAGTGAAACATAATTAAACAGTATACAGTAATATTAGTTTGATTTTTACTTTCCAAATTAATTTCCCCTCTGCACAATTTTCTTGGTGATTAAGTATGCCTGCTAGTGGCCCAAATGAGAACAAGATCTGTGTCACTACGTTGTACACTAGTTCTGATAATACTAAATAGTTTGCTATGCAGCTTTTAAGCTTTTTTTAAGGTCCTATATTACACAGAATTGACTCTTGTGAGCTTTGAGTCATGTTCAAATGTTAAGTCTTCAAAAACAAACCGAGGTTGTGTTTTCTTTCATTCACACATGTTTTGAGTAACACTTTATTATTAGTCTGTCTCCATCTCTAAATCTCAAAATGCTCTGTACCACTTGTTGTGATGTGATGTCATGAAGAGGTAGATTTCAACTTAACAGGTACCTTTTACCTTTTGTTCAGTACATATTTGAAATTCAAGGGCTCAAATCATCCAAATGAATTTAGTGAAGGTGTATGAATTTTAAAAACACAGTGGAGCACTTCAAGTATTGCCACATGACATCACAAGGTGAAACTAAGTGTTTTCTGTTTGAAAGAAGAGCTCATTCTAAATATGCAGGGTTTGTGGATTAAACATGTGTGAATGAAACAAAACAAAAGTTATATTTTTGATGAGGAAACATCATAAACATAAAAAAAGTGCGTAATATGGGCCCTTTAAAAAAAGTCCTACTTCCTCCGGTATGAGTACAGAGAACTTACTTCCAACTTAAGTATGAATTTGCATAGTATAGCATCAAACTGCCCTCGTATCTCTTCCATCCGCAAACAGCGCCTTGCAGCCAGTCTGATCCATGGATAAGTCCACCGCTCAGCTGGCAGTGATTTTTAGCCAGGGTTCCAGGGGAGATTTTGGGGGTACGTCTGCAGTAAAGGGGGGTCAACCACGCTCTTCTCTCCTCCTCTCTCACCCCATCCCGCTCTCCCCATCCTGAACAAACAGAGACCCCCTCACCCAGGCCTCAGCCCAGTCCACCGGTGGGACCTGAGGGAGAAACATTCCTCCATCCCGGAAAAGAGGAGTCACATCAGCCGCAGTTCTGGGAATAGGAGCGGGATAATGAAGTACAGGCTGGAGCTCCATGCACGGCCCAGAGACAGAGGCACAAAGTGGAACGAGCCAGTGAGCAAATGAAGTCATGGTGAAGACAGCTAAGTCTACAAACATCGCGCTGTTTGTGTGCTTAAGCAACAGGCTGAAAAAAAGTGAATTCCAATAAGCTTCAAAACTAAATCATCCACCAACACTGATGTGATGAAATACTTGCAATTCTTACTGATCTCAGTGTAATTTGAGATTAATGATTTCATAGCTCAGATTAGGGCTGTAGGAAATCTCAAACTTTAATTAAATTAAATGTCTTAAAAGTAGAAATAAAAAGCACCACTGGAAACTTGTTAAAACAATATGGCTGCATTCATTATTCAATAGGAGTAAGTGACTGAGAATTTGCAAATATACAGTTATCTCATCTTTTAAATCTATTTCACATTCCATGTACAAAGCTGTCACTTATAGAAGGGTCTATTGGTCACTGACATTACAATTTATAAAAATCATGAATACATGCATTCACATCTAGACAATGTAGAATATTTAACTTTTTCTATTTGATTGAAATAAAAACCTCATCATCATTCGGCCTATTTCATCCGTGACCCCAATGATGTCACTTCCTGTCCTAGAGGAAACAGAAGAAATCTGACGCCTAGTCAGTCTATGGGCTTTAGTACAACACTAATGCTACTCGTGTACATGCTTTATTAGATATACTGTCTCCGTTTAGTTCCACACAGTCATTTATATTATGTAAACAATGTAAAACGACCTCTTATGTACCACAGAGGTACCTTACATGACCTGACAATTG